ATTGGTAGACTATAAAGGGAATTAAGTCATTTTGACTAACTCACTAGTTACATGCCTGTATACATAAAAAACTGTAACATATTTGACAGTATTCGATAAATGAAAACTGTGTAAAAAAATAGAAAAAATTAGAAAAAGGCAACACAATGAATAAGATTTCTTAGTTCATAATTAATAAAAACAAAAGAAGGTATAGATGTATATAACACCATAATACTACTGGGTACAAATTATAAGACAAATGGTTTTAAATTTGCATTGTTTATTGAAAATCACATTAAAACTACTGCACTGTATAACATATTACATCATAATATAGCTAAATTATTCAGTATAATTTCCCTTTGAAGTAAATGAGGATCTTATTAGATGACATGATTATTTAGTAATAACGTCCTGTGCCTTGCATCTTGTCCATATACAATTTGTAAAGCTTCAGTAAATTATAAATTTTATAAGACTGTACTATAAGGCTTTCACTGATCACCAGAATAAAATTGTAACGCTACGATTTAATCTTTAAACGCGTTTCCAAAATAGCTCTACAGATGGAACACCAAGATGCAGACAAATGTTAAAACAAAAATGGCTACTCAATGAATAAGATTTGTTAGATCATAATTAATAAAAAAATATATATATAGATAAAAGTGTATATAATACCATAAAATGGTGGGTACAAACTATTGGACAAAATGTTTTAAATATCTTTTTTTTATTGAAAGTCACCGTAAACTATTGAACTGTATAACATATTAGATCATAATATAAATAAATTTATCAGTATAATTTCACTTTGAAGGTCTTTTTTGAGGTCACAATGATCTGGTAATAATGTCCTTGTATCTTGCATCTTGTCCATATACAATTTATAAAACTTCAGTAAATTATAAATTTTATAAGGCTGTTCTCTAAGGCTTTCACTGATCACCGAAATGAAATTGCAAAGCGAAGATTTAATCTTTAAACTCGTTTCCTCAAAAAAACGATAAGGATTTGGAAAAACATATTTCTGCATCATTATTTTATCATGTGAAACCTCAACTTTCAAATTGAGTGCAATACCACGGTTCCAAAATAGAACTGCTCTACAGAATGAACACCAAGATGCAGACAAAGGAGTTAAAATAAAAAATGGATAGTCAATGAATAAGATTTTTCAGGTCATTTGTTATATCGTAATTAATAAAAGCAAGAAAATATATATGTGTATATAACTCCATAATACTGCTGGGCACAAATGATAAGACAAATTGTTTTAAATTTGCCTTGTTTATTGAAAATCGCACTAAAACGACTGCAGTGTATAACATATTACATCATAATATAAATAAATTGTTCTGTATAATTTCCCTTTAAAGTTAATGAAGATCTTATTTGATGGAACAATGATTTAGAAATAATTCCTTTGTCTATATACAATTTGTAAAGCTTCAGTAAATTATAAATTTTATAAGGCTGTGCTAAAAGGTTTTCATTGATCACCGAAATGAAATTGCAACGCTATGATTTTGAACCGAAAATTAACCTTTAAACTCATAAAAAGCGGTAACGATTTGGAAAACATATTTTGTGTCATTAGTATGTCACACCCCGAATTTCAAATTGACTGCAGTAACAAATAAAATCAACCTCCCCTATTGTACAATGGTAAATAATTAACCACGTGGACGGGTCTATCAAGACTGGAAAATGAAGATTCATTAACATCACGCAGATGGGAATCAATATAGTAGAAGCGTGCATTTACTGGAGCAGTACAAGGAACCGATGTTGGTTTGTTTTGTTTTACGGTATATCAACCTAAATGGGTTATTTAAGGCCGACAAGATTTTTATTGCTGGTAATATTTTTTTCAAAAAAAATATTGTTGGTAATAATTTTTTCTTCAATAATGTATTGCTGCTAATAATTTTTCCAAAAAAAAAATTGCTATTATTGAAATCTATTTTTAAATTTTGATTGGGTTTTGACCCCCTTTCTTTGGTGGGGATTAACTATATGCCCATAGCTGGGACCCTGACAGGTGCTACCACCCCGGGTCAAGGTGGACCTCGGAACACCAGCAATTAAGAGATGGTTCCATGCCCCTGAAAACCTCCTAATCAAAGGAATTGCTGTCGAATGTAGATTATCATTTTACCCAGGACGCGGATTTAGTTCATCGTCTAACCCTGCTTGAGGTCCGGGAAAAAAAACTTGAATTCAAACAGGCATTTAATGCAAAAGGCTCCCTTGAAAGAACACTTAAATTAGACTAAAAACCAGTGTGATGGGGAAACATTTCTATTTTGTGTCGTAGATATTTAAGGTTACAAGTCAGTTTTTTCTTCATTCAGTTGTTCGAGCGAGGCCATTTTTCAGTTCTTCCTGCTTTCATTCCTCTCCTCCTTGTCCGTTTATATTTTCTGCATATTCTCTGCTTCACCTATTCGCCGATCGGACCGATAACTATCACCAATCGTAATGAACAGATGTCCCCTTAGAGAGACCCCATGACTTGACCGCCTATTGGTCGTTCAACTAAATCCTGACCTCAAGTAGAATTCGTACATAAGATCCATTGCTAATGACGCCGAAAAAAATAATTGCCGATTTGCTGTAACTCTCCAGTACGTACCTGACTCCTCTGCCAAAAATGGATGGCGCACTGCCATATATGGGCAGGAAATGACCAGTTCTCACATTCCAGTCTCGTTAGAGACGAAAAAATGTCTCCGCGTCCTTGTGGGTGATGAATTATTTTCCACTACCCTCTCGTTTCTCTATCGCTATTTCCATAGAAAGTGTTCAAAGTATATCCTTTATTTCCACCAGTTCTACCCTTAACGGCTAACCCATCTTGTCAAGCAATGTAGAAACCCAAACATTCTTTCGTATTACATTGGTAAGTTTAAATATGCTTCTTCCTACAAAAAATGCTGTGATGAAACCGATAAGAGGATGCTTCCTCGATCACAACAATCTTAACCTATTCAAGTCTGTTTAGGGTTAACCGTTATCTTCCCCACATAATATAAACTTGCCTCTTACTTTTTAACACTTGAAGTCTGCTTAAATGAAATATGACTCCAAAGGATGCTTCCCATCACTAAATCTTAACTTGAACGAGTTAAGATATACAAAAACAGTAACTCAAAAAACTGCATCCCCGATCACTACAATCTTAACCTGTTCATGTCAGGATTAATCGCTATCTCTCCGAATATCCCCATAAATGTTGCCTTTACTTTTGGAACCGACTTTCAGAGGATGCTTCCTCGATCACAACAATCTTAACCTATTCAAGTCTAGGGTTAACCGTTATCTTCCCCACATATACCTATAAACTGTGCCTCTTACTCTGTAACACTCTGTCTGCTTTGCGAAACCGACTCCCAAGAGGATGCTTCCCCGATCACTACAATCTTAACTTGAACGAGTTAAGATATACAATTAAACAGTAACTCAAAAAGGATGCATCCCCGATCACTACAATCTTAACCTGTTCATGTCTAGGATTAATCGCTATCTTCTCCGCATATCCCCATAAACTGTGCCTCTTACTTTGGAACCGACTCCCGAGAGGATGCTTTCCTGATCACTACACTCTTAACCTGTTCAAATCTAGCATTAACCATTATCTTCCCTACATATCAGTGAAAATCTGTTCTAATCTAAATAATTTTTTTCTTGTATGTTTCTCGTTTTTCTTCTGAGTTAGCTGACTTATCCAACATCTTCCTTTTCGTCTAAATTCTCTCTCTTTTTTATTTTCAAATCTCCTTCGTTTTCCATCTTCAAACTCTTTCATTTCTTTTCACTTGCCTTGATTCTTTCTTCTCTTATTTATTTATTTATTCCTTCCTGTGTTTTCTGCAATCTATGGCGATTTTTCCATTATCACAAAGGCGTCTGGACGTTTTTGACCTCATTTAAAATCCATCCTTCCCTTTACTGTTTTTAGGTCAACGATTTGTTGCTGGGAGAATAAATAATAAACGAAAAAAAGGACTGTCACTTCATTGTTTGGTTCAAAGCAATTGGTTAAAGCAGACGACTCCAAATTGTCTATGGACAATATAAGCTTTCACCTCCATGTTTGTCATGACTTAACTGACACAGAAACAAATTTGAAATTCACACAGATAATAAAGTACGGTGTTTTTTTAACAGCGCCTATGTGTAATATATATATATATATATATATATATATATATATATATGGGGCGTGCCAGATTTACCGATAGTTAGTTCTCTCCCATTTCTCTCTCAGAACTCAAGGAGATGGGCACTGGTTTGAATAAACTGCTGTCCAACACGTATTTTCTTTAATGAGATTTCTCGAGCATTCAGACCAGTAGACGAAATAAATATGTTGTTTAATAAATAAACGGAACGTCTAATCAAACACGAGCATACACTACCAAATATATAAATTCCTTTACTTGGGAGGGATTTTAATGGAGACTTATCATCTCTCAAGACGTCTCTGTCCTTGGACAGAGTGCACCTCATACACATTATATAGTCTGTCTGAGGACAGAAGGGGGCAACTTTAAAATTATACTGAAGAGGTGCCCAGCCCTTTATACAGATGCCCTGAGACCACGCCCTCTCATTGGCACAAGAGGGAGGGATCGGTGGCTCGCATTGAGGCCAGCGTAACCGATGGTTACGGGGCTGAGGGAAATTTTACCCCTGCCCGAGTTACGCGCTCAGGTCCCCACATTAATCCGACCTTGTGTCACATCTCATTCTTGTGGGGGAATGAGTAAACACCGCATACACTACCAAATGACGCCGAACAAATAAAAATCCAGTAATTCTTTTTGTTATGTTTCGATACGAAACTGTATAGATATCTCTTCATATCAAATAGTAATTTTACTGACTTAGCCGTTTCCTTTATAGGAAACATTCGGCATTTGAATGAATTTGTGTCGAATCCGGGAAGGACGTTCTTCTTCAATTCCGTTTGGGAACTCGAATTGTGATCAATTCCGTGACATCTGTTCTGTTCATTCGCATTTAGGAATTCCTCCGGCCCTCGACCGAGCAGCCAGTGCTATGATTAACGTATAAGGGAAAGAGTTTCTGTAATTTTCTTCTGCGTATTCTTCCTGATCTCAAATGATAATGTTAATATTAGCCGTTTCCTTATAAGGAAACATTCGGCATTCATTGACCGAGCAGACAGTGCTACTCGGGTGACGTTCTTCACTCCTGGCCCTCGAGCTGGGTCAAGATGTGTAGTATCTGTTCTCCTTATCTCTAAATGATAATGGTAATATTAGCCGTTTCTTATAAGGAAACATTCGGCATTCATTGACCGAGCAGCCAGTGCTATCTTACGTATTCAATACTCGCGCTTGGATCAAAGTTTTAGTATCTCTTCCTCATCTCAAATGATAATGTATTAGCCGTTTCCTTATAAGGAAACATTCGGCATTCATTGACCGAGCAGACAGTGCTACTCGGGTGACGTTCTTCTTCACTTCCTGGCCCTCGAGCTGAGGTAAGATGTGTAGTATCTGTTCTCCTTATCTCTAAGGATAATGGTAATATTAGCCGTTTCCTTATAAGGAAACATTCGGCATTCATTGACCGAGCAGCCAGTGCGACTCGAGTGACGTTCTTCTTCACTTCCTGGCTCTCGGGCCGGGATCAAAGTGTAGTATCTGTTCTCTCCATCTCTAATGGCAAATGTAATATTAGCCGTTTCCTTATAAGGAAATATTCGGTACTCATTGTCTAAGCAGCTAATGCTACTCGAGTGACATTTCCTGACTCTCGGACTGGGATGAAAGGGCTACTCGAGTTACACTATTCTTCACTTCCTCGCCACCTGTCCATCGTTTCCACTAAGATCTGTTTCGTGCGAAGAAGCCAACGGTATACGAAGGAAATAAGGATGGTTTGATACAATGGATGTGGCATGGCGTGTATTAGCCATCATGGCTGAATTAAGGACAGTATTCCGTCTAAACAATTTCCGTGAAAATAGCGATAGAACACCGAAAGTAAAGTGTTTGTAGAGTGAAAATGATTCAACAGCTACAAGAAAACGTCTTTGGACTCTGTCGAGACTGGTCAGCTCTCGCCCATATACGCTATCAGTGCACTGTTTTCGGCCCGATCTGTCTCTTGTAAAGGTAGAGGATAGTAGGTGGGAGGGACTTGTTGCATCGCTACAAAGTACCGACCAGGTACGAATTTCTCTAGAGGTTGGGGTTGATTTTTAATTCAAAATAGACGGTCAAGACATGGGATCTCCCTGAGGTAACATCCGTTCATCATGATTAGAGGAGTTACTGGGTCCAATCGGCGAAAGTCAATAGTTTAGTTATCAAGGCATTGAATGAGGTCAGCGTTTTCCCCATCCGCAATGAGATTTTAGAGCTAGGTCAGAGAGATCAGCTGCCAAGCTTTGGTCATCTATGACTTTAGAGGTGAACCCATATACCGTTGTATCATTGGTATATCAGTTCTCCTATATGGAAGTGAATGTTGGACAACCTCCTCACAGATGAAGAAGAGACTTGAAGCAAGAGAAACAAAGAAAAGAGTACTGAACTGTTATGTAATATCAGTCCTCCTATATGCCAGTGAATACTGGACAATCTCCTCACAGATGAAGAAGAGACTTGAAGCAAGAGAAACAAAGAAAAGAGAACTGAAATGTTATGTAATATCAGTCCTCCTATATAGCAGTGAATGATGGACAATCTCCCCACAGATGAAGAAGAGACTTAAAGCAAGAGAAACAAAGAAAAGTGTACTGAACTGTTATGTAATATCAGTCCTCCTATATGGCAGTGAATGCTGGACAATCTCCCCACAGATGAAGAAGAGACTTGAAGCAAGAGAAACAAAGAAAAGAGTACTGAACTGTTATGTAATATCAGTCTTCCTATATGGCAGTGAATGCTGGACAATCACCTCACAGATGAAGAAGAGACTTGAAGCAAGAGAAACAAATAAAAGAGTACTGAAATGTTATGTAATATCAGTCCTCCTATATGGCAGTGAATGATGGACAATCTCCTCAGAGATGAAGAAGAGACTTGAAGCAAGAGAAACAAAGAAAAGTGTACTGAACTGTTATGTAATATCAGTCCTCCTATATGCCAGTGAATACTGGACAATCTCCTCACAGATGAAGAAGAGACTTGAAGCAAGAGAAACAAAGAAAAGAGAACTGAAATGTTATGTAATATCAGTCCTCCTATATGGCAGTGAATGCTGGACAATCTCCCCACAGATGAAGAAGAGACTTAAAGCAAGAGAAACAAAGAAAAGTGTACTGAACTGTTATGTAATATCAGTCCTCCTATATGGCAGTGAATGCTGGACAATCTCCCCACAGATGAAGAAGAGACTTGAAGCAAGAGAAACAAAGAAAAGAGTACTGAACTGTTATGTAATATCAGTCCTCCTATATGGCAGTGAATGATGGACAATCTCCTCAGAGATGAAGAAGAGACTTAAAGCAAGAGAAACAAAGAAAAGAGTACTGAACTGTTATGTAATATCAGTCCTCCTATATGGCAGTGAATGATGGACAATCTCCTCAGAGATGAAGAAGAGACTTAAAGCAAGAGAAACAAAGAAAAGAGAACTGAAATGTTATGTAATATCAGTCCTCCTATATGGCAGTGAATGCTGGACAATCTCCCCACAGATGAAGAAGAGACTTGAAGCAAGAGAAACAAAGAAAAGAGTACTGAACTGTTATGTAATATCAGTCTTCCTATATGGCAGTGAATGCTGGACAATCACCTCACAGATGAAGAAGACACTTGAAGCAAGAGAAACAAAGAAAAGAGTACTGAACTGTTATGTAATATCAGTCCTCCTATATGGCAGTGAATGATGGACAATCTCCTCAGAGATGAAGAAGAGACTTAAAGCAAGAGAAACAAAGAAAAGAGTACTGAACTGTTATGTAATATCAGTCCTCCTATATGGCAGTGAATGATGGACAATCTCCTCACAGATGAAGAAGAGACTTGAAGCAAGAGAAACAAAGAAAAAGAGAACTGAAATGTTATGTAATATCAGTCCTCCTATATGGCAGTGAATGCTGGACAATCTCCCTTTACAGATGAAGAAGAGACTTGAAGAAGAGAAACAAAGAAAAAAGAGTACTGAACTGTTATGTAATATCAGTCCTCCTATATGGCAGTGAATGCTGGACAATCACCTCACAGATGAAGAAGACACTTGAAGCAAGAGAAACAAAGAAAAGAGTACTGAACTGTTGGCATGTAATATCAGTCCTCCTATATGGCAGTGAATGATGGACAATCTCCTCAGAGATGAAGAAGAAAAGAAGAGAAACAAAGAAAAAAGACTGAACTGTTATGTAATATCAGTCCTCCTATATGGCAGTGAATGCTGGACAATCTCCTCACAGATGAAGAAGAGACTTGAAGCAAGAGAAACAAAGAAAAGAGTACTGAACTGTTATGTAATATCAGTCCTCCTATATGGCAGTGAATGCTGGACAATCAATCCTCCCAGATGAAGAAGAGACTTGAAGAAGAGAGAAAAGAAAAGATGACTGAACTGTTAGAATATCAGTCCTCCTATATGGCAGTAATTGTATGGACAATCTCCTCACAGATGAAGAAGAGAATATGGGCAAGAGAAACAAAAAAAAAGTACTGAACTGATATAATATCAAACTCCTATATGGCATATCCTCATAATGAAGGACAACAGAGCATGGTTCTACAGAAGGATGCTAAAATACCTGACCGGACATAAACAAAAAAAAAATGTAAAAGATTTCAAAAACAATGATTTGATTAACATCAGGAAGAGGCTAACAAAATTTCTGGGACACTTTTGAAAAAACAAAAAGGAAAATCTTCTATATTTGGGTCGGAAAGAAGGCAAGAAGAACAAGGGAAAGCAAAGCGTGATATACTTAACAGGCTGAAAGAAATGGACGGCAGAACAGGGCCTGGGAAAATAGCAAAAACAAAACTTATTGAGCGCTTCAATGGACAGGAGGAGGTGGAGAGCCATCATCTCTCAAGTCCTGAATGCACACGGCACATAAAATGGGGAAGAAAATTGTTCGACCGTAGATGCGCACCTTAGGCATAGATCGCCTGGCAATAAAATATTTTCGTGTAACCATTTTCTTGGCGCCTAAAATGTTAAAGACCCAATCTTTTTTTTTTCTGTTTCCATTTATAACAATACGAACTGGGATAATTGATTCAAGGCACAGGGTAAGAATTTAGAAATATAAGTGCATTCATTCAAACGCGAAAAAGCTAGTTTGAATTCAAATTATTTCTCATTTCTCTGGTGTCAAAGGATAATATCCGGAAAGTGGGTCTTCGACACAATTACCAGAATTTCGATGCTTTTACGCGAATTTGTCTAAAAGGTTGATTATTTAAGTGTAAATCACGCTTACCCGCGGCGAAAAAAGCTTCTGTTCGCCGAGCAATGAATTGTAATGGCCATGTTGTCGATCGAAAGTGAGAAGAGTGTGTAATGGAGGAGGAGAAAATCTGGGCTTTCGGCGTTAATGCTTCATTAAGACAAAAGAATAGTGGTTGGGAAACGTAAATAAGGAAATCATAGGAATAAAAGAAGGAAATTAATAACAAGGCAACACATTTAAAAGAAAGAAAGAAAGAAAGAAAGAAGGAAAGAAAAAAAGAAAGAATGAAGGAAAGAAAGGAAAGGACAATAATCTGTTGAAGAAAGAAAACTGGAAAGAAAAAGAAAAAGAAAGAAAGAAAGAAAGAAAGAAAGAAAGAAAAGGAAAATAAAAAGTTGAAGAAAGAAAAGACTGGAAAGAAAAGAGGTAGAAAAAAAAGAAAAAAGAAAGAAAGAAAGAAAGAAAGAAAAAAAGAAAGAAAGAAAGAAAAAGAAAGAAAGAAAGAAAAAAAAAGAAAAAGAAAGAAAGAAAGAAAAAGAAAAGAAGGAAAAAAGGGAAAGAAAGAA